GCGCAGCTCTGAAATCATGTCTTCAATCCGCGTGCACTGCTGCGACTGCTCAGTGTAGCACGACGGAAACTCGGGGTCGACCTCCACCATGTCACCCAGAGCTTGTTCCCAATGTAGCTGGTGTTCTGGGTTGAGATTTCGGCGGCGAGGGAGGGTTTTGTCGACCAGCGGTGCTGTCAGCTCTGGCTTGCCCTCGCCCATGAAGTTGAGGTCATCCACGACGAACGCCTTGATCCTCTGTGGTTGTTGTTCAGCAATCCTGAGCTCGTTATGGGTCGCGCCCCTAGTGGGGTGGCCCTGGTCTGCAGTTGGCTGCAGGTTGTGGGCGCTGTAGGTCACGATCATTCTGTGGAGAGTGCCCGCTGCGTGGGCCTCCTGCAGGGCTAGCGCGGCCGTGGCATTCACCGCCAGCCTCATGAGCGCGATCTTTTTCTTCCTCTCGAGGGGGGTCTCTGCCCAGCAGCGCCCTCGGATTCCACGTCGTGAAAGAAATCGGCTTCGGCCCATCTGCGCCTCGCCAAGGGGCGAGGGTCCAGTAAGATCTGCCACTGTACATTCTGCGCGTCGAGCGACGTCTGGAAGAATTGCTCGAACTGCACGCGGATCTCCTCTCGACTGATGCCGTGCTGAAGGCAGCCATTGTAATTTAAGAGCAGACGGGTGGGCTCGTCCTTTGTGGAGCCGACCGCGATGGAAAGGACTGGCATGCAATAGATGATGCCCTGCTGTCGGTCACCTCGCCGCCGCTTCGTGGCATGTTGCGCTTTGCAGAACTGGGTAAGTTTCTTGGTCTGGGGCTCCCTTCGTGCCGTTTTCCCCGAGCGACCCAGGCCGAGGAAGAGTCTTGTTGACTGTCCATGGGTACGTTGGACTTCTGTGTTGACCCAATCCCCGTCGGGCCCCTTGAGCTTGCTGTAAAATGCTCTGACCTTCCGCGCGGATGCGTTGGCATCCCCGCTGAACTGGATGATGAAGCGTCTCGCTGGGCTCTTCCCCAACCACCTCCCAATCGGCTTCGCTGAGATCACACTTGTCCATGATCGGCTTGATGCTATGCTTGGGCTGGTCCGTAGTGTAGTTCCCCGGCGCGGTGCCAACGATGATGCTGGTGTCTGCCGCCCTGTCCCACTCGATGAGGTTCTCGTAGTCTTTGATGGGGATCTGTGCTTCTTGCATGAATAGCTTCTGTCGCATTTCAGCGACCTGGGCACGTAACTCTCGTTGATCTGCTTCCAGCTTGGTCGAGGCGGCCTGGAGCGATTGGATGTGCCCATTGAACTGTTCGTTTTGCTTTTGCTGCTGACCAGCGACCGCGCCCAGCGGCCCTCTGAGCTGTGTGGCGAACTCTGCGATGACTTCCTGCTTGACTGTGGCCAGCCTCGCATCGAGCTGCGCCGTGGGGAATTCCTGCGGTGCTTTGATAACGGCGTTGGCTGCGTCCATGGGGTCGATGAGCTCGGAGGAGGTGGAGGCGTTGGAGGCGCCAGCTCGGGGCCTCTTGGCTCCTTCAGCAACAGCACGGGAGAGGGCGGCCGTATCCCTCCAGGGATCGTGTTGATGAATTGCATCTGGTTGACGGCCCCCTGCTCGCCGATGAGGACCTTCGCTCGCTTCAGCACCAGAGGGTTGGAGAGAAACAACAGACCGATCAGCAGCAGCAGCTCCACGATGAGCCGCCATTCGCGGCGCTGACTGGGTGCCTGGGGCTGACCAGGACTTTGGATATGGATGCCAGGGCCGGACCTGGACTTATGAATATGGATGCCAGGGGCGGACCTGGGCTTGGGGCAATCGCCAGGGGCGGACCTGGACTTGGAGACAGCTGGATCTCTGGGTGGGAGCCTACCCCGCGAAGGCAGTTCTGGAGGGTCCGCCATTTGGTCTTGAACCAAAATGGCTAGTGTAATATATATATATATATATATATAATATTCAATCTATGTTGTGCCAAGCTGTCGGCAAGGGCGTGCGCCACTTTCCAAAGCGACCATATGAATAACAAACATGAACTGCCTGAAAACTCACATGTGCGCTACGAAAGTTTGATCCGTTTCGTGCTGTCACAAAAACACGTCTCAAGCGGGAGCGTCATTGCGAGTTCTAGCCGGAGAAGTGCGGTCCTCTTTTTTCGCGGAAGTTCTGGGCGGGAACACCTTTTCGAAAATGAACCAGAAAAAAGGTGTCGAATTGACGTCCTGGGCGGCAGCGCTATTTCGAGATCGAACCCGAAAACCTCCCAATTCTTTTTTCGGAGGAAGTCGTGGACGAGACCACCATGTCGAAATCGAGCCAGACAATATTTCGATTTCTTCTTTAGAGGAACCCTTGGGTGGGAGAGCCATGTCGAAACCGAGCCCGCAAATATCACACTCGTTCGAAATTGATTTGTCGAGGAAGTCTCAAGCGAAACCGTCGTTTCGAAACAACCATGCCGTCTGGCATTTCAAATTTTCTGACCAGAGATTTCGAAATTGTGGTTTTCCCTTGCGACTCTCCAGAAAAAACGATCTCGACTGTATTTCAAAACCGTCGGGTTCGAATTCGAAGAGGCGGTTCCGCCCAAGACTTGACCAAATCTGTGCTTGAACAGAACATCGTACTCGGGCCCCGCGGCCTTACGGGCCCCGTTGACGTCTCCTCTCTTGCCGCGGGCGCAACGCCAATGATAACGTTGTACGGAACCCATCGCTTAACGGGAGAAACTGCTTTTTGGCCGAACTTCCGTAACGGCGCAATATATGCTTTCGGGAACCCAGATATGGAATCCTTCAGATTTAGGCATTCGCGCGCACTCTGTGTCACTTTTTGCACGGGACTCTTGCGACAGCACGCACGCAAAGGAGTTCGACTGATTTCGGTATGCGCGTGCGAAGGGCCGGTTTGGTCGCATTTGGTGAAATGCTTCAAAAAACAATGAAAACGATTGCAATAGCGCGAACGGCGTTTTTTTAACGCCCTGTTGCGAAATTGTTCGTGATCCTCGATTTCGAAATACCTACGGCAACCAACGTTTTTGAACGAATTCGGCATGCGCGCGCGACGACGCGCGCGTGTGCACTCCGTCGCGTTTATTGCGAATGCTTCTCGGACGAAGATCTTTGAAGATGAAGACGTGCGCGCGGCTGGTATTTCTGCTGCGAGGGACGAGGGGAAGTACATACCGGGTTGGCTGGGGTCAGATGGTTGGGCATAACCGAATGTGCATTGCACATCCCCAGAAGGGGAGCTGATACGTCTGGCCTCGGGAAAGCGGTCAATCCAAATCTAATTATGTCTAGAAAAAACTATATGCTGTGCAAGGTCTGTCGTGCAATCCATGTGGGGCGGCGGCGGCGGCCACATAACCGCTCGACCGAAGACGCGGCCCAGGCGACCGGGCGGCGAACGGCGGTCACATAGCCGCCAGACCGAAGACACGGCCCAGACGACGTCGGCGACGAGGCGGCGACAAGGCGACCACACAGCCGCCAGACAGCAGACTCGGCCCAGTTAGAGAAAGAACCCCTAAATGCAATCAGTGCTTGGAGAAGTATCAGTAAAACATTACCCACACCATAAACCGAACGATCCATATGATTGCTATACAACTGGGATGCACAGCGGTACGTATAACTATAACCATAGCCATGACACCAACCTTGCAATGTTTCTGTACAGTGAGAACGTAGACGACTACGACAATACCAATAACCTGAAGCGCGTTCCGAACTACATTCTTCAATGCGGACTGACAGTTCCGAGACACCAATGCCCTCTACCGCGGTTGAAGTTATTTTTTTTTGAACCGTTATTCTTTCTGGGGTGCTTCAGCTTGTAATAACACAGCAATCGCCCTATGTCGCTCCCATCGTACTCAAAGACCACATCCCAGAAAAAATTCGAGCACCCGGAGAAGTGTAGAAACAGCGTCGAAATAGTGCCGAAGCCAGTGTCGGACGAGTGTCTCCCAGGGCCCGACACGTGGAAGCCCTCGAGTTTCGGTACTTTTCTGGTGTTCGATCTTCTTTTTGGTGCTCGAAATAACTGGGGCATTCACAGCAATAGCCGATACCCAGACCACGCAGAACAATGTAGGCCCTCAGGCGGCCGGTGTCGGACTCCCTGGCCGTGGAGAAGCAGCCCAGGATGAAAAAAAAACGGCCCAGGGAAGAGGTCGAGGCCACAGGGGGCCCCGCGTCCAGAAAAAAACGCTGCGCTGGATGCGGGGGGGGTGCCAGCGAATCTCTGGACGCCCGAAAGGGGCACGGAAAGACAGGGTACAATGCCCAGCAACAAATGTTGTCCCAAACCAACAGCGGCCGCTGTTGGGCAGGCGGCCTTCTGTCTCAAATGGACACAGGCCGCGGCGACACCGACAGCGAGTCCTTTTCAAATGGACACAGGCCGCGGCGACACCGACACCGACAATGGCCTCTGTGCCCATTCTTTCCGTACCCATTTCGTTCGTGCCGAGAGTCAGCTGCGAAGGCAGCTTGTTCTCTCGGCGCCGGCAACCTCCACGTATCCAAGAGTGGACCTGGCGACGGGGCTGGCACCAGCCGCACTCGACAAATTTAGTCTCCCCCCCTTCCCAATCCCCCCTCTTGCCAAGACCCCCGACGTCATGATTTGTACACAACGTCGGACCCCATAAGTCTCGATGCCACCCCCCAGGAGGGGCTTTCCATCCTGAGTCGTTTTTGGTTGTTGTTGGATGGGCCCTAAGCACGGCAAGAGTCCCTGGAGCCCGGAAGTAGCAAAACACCATCCGCCTGAGTTTTTCACCACGCTGCCAGGGGTGCAGCACATCCTGCTGCGCTCCGCGCCGCGTGAGCGCGCTCCCTCCTCCTCCCTCTCAGACGCGGCCGCCTCTCTCTTCTTTCCCCTTCTCTTGTATCCGGGCCAATCTGCAATGCCGTCTCCCTGTTTGCCGAGCGCGCGTGCGGACTCTGCTGCGCTGCGTGCGACGTACAGAGCTGTTTCACGACGCGAGGGGTCTGGGAAATTCTTCCAGCCCGAACCTTGTACGGCTTCTGGAAGCCGTGGGTGCGCCGGCCGTTCGTCTGCGAATCGGCCCGCGGTCTAACCAGATCCCGGCACACGGACATCTCCGGGGCTGCGCCAGGCGAGGAGGCCTGCCAGGGCTCCGAAACACCACGCGCTGGGCGCGGAGTCCAGGCGGGCAGACAGACAAGGATGATGATGATGATGATGACGACTAACTGATGCTGCTGATGATGGTCGTGATGATGATGGTGGTGGTGATGATGATGATGACGATGACGATGATGATGGTGATGGTGATGGTGATGGTGATGATGATGATGATGATGATGATGACTTTGACAATGATGATGATGAGAAGGAGGAGGATGAGGATGGTGGTGATGATGAGTACGGTGTCAATAATGATGGTGGTGGTGGTGATGATGCTGATGATGATGAGGGTGCTAGTGATGACGATGCTGATGATGGTAATGATGATGGTGCTGATGGCAATGACGATAACGATGACGCTGAAGATGATGATGACGATACTGAGGATGATAATGATGATGCTGGTGACGATGACGAAGATGCTGACGATGATGATGATGCTGATGATGATGGTGCTAATGATGATGCTGGCAATGGTGCTGATGATGACCATGATGATGCTGATACTGATGCTGATGATGGTGATGACAGTGATGATGACGATGATGCTGGTTGTGCTGCTGGTGAGTATGATGATGTTGCTGATGATGATGCTGATGATGATGATGAATCTGATGGTGCAGATGGTGCTGATATTGATGGTGATGGAAATGATGATGATGATGATTATGATGATGCTGATGCTGCAGCTGCTGCTGCTGCTGATGATGATGATGATGATGATGATGATGATGATAATGATGATGATGATGATGATGATGATGCGCTCGACCAGTCGGCACTGGGACCTTTCCTGGGGCGCGCTCGGACACACCCTCATCCCCTTCCGTGGCGTCACCCTCGCCTTTCAAGCTTCCCTCCGGCCGCATAAATACGTTTTGGGGCGAGGCGAGCGGGACGTCACCGAAGGGGATGGTTTGCTAGGGGTCGGTTAGGCCGCCCCTGATCTCCTGGGGCGCGCTCTGACCGGAACAAGAAACCCAGCCGTGAAGGCACGAAGCCCCTTCGAAGCCCCAAACTCGGGGGCGAAGAACGGTATAAAATGAACTTTGCCGCCGTCGGGGACGCCTTCCCCCCGCGGCTGCAAAGTTTATACCCCTACGGCAGTGCCAAATTGACAAGCGCCTTCCACGTCTCGTAGAGTAACTACTCGGAAATTGCCGAGATCCGCCTCGGAGATCTATACGATCCTTGAAATCGAGGCAAACATGTGTTCTTCGAACGTTTGCGAGTGGGCACTTTGCGAATGGTGGAACGCGCTCAGTGATGGTCGGAATCCTGAGGAGAGACCCAGCCGTGACGACAAGACGCTCAGGGGCAACGGTCGGGGGGAACGGCACAGGGGAGATGCATCGACCTGGAATCGGCTATGCATCGCCGATAGATCGGCGATAGGCCTCCGATCGTGAATCCGCACCTTTTCTGGGCCAGTTGGGGCTATCGGGCCCCTATCGGCGATCAATGGGCGATTAGGGCTCGATGCTATCCCCACTTACGCTTATCCCCCCATCGCTGCCCCTGAGAATCCCCTCCGAGGCCGACTGATTAGGTCGGGTCTGTCCTCGTGCAAGGGGATTTTGGAAGAACGCTTAGAAACAGTCAAGACAGAAGCAAGCAAAATCAAACGAGCACGAGACGTCGCCCCAAGACTATTTTTCTTTTCTGCTCTCGAGATCTTCCTCCTGCAGGGGGAGGTGTCCAACTTGACCCCACGAGGCCCTGACCCTCGAAGCTCCACCCCCCGACGCCCGAGGCTCGCTCCTCGCAGCTCGGAGCTCCCCCGCCCCTGGTGGCGCCCAGCCCCTCCAGGCCGCGCCTGGCCGCGGGGACGCGCCCGTGGCCTCCGGCGAGGGGGGGGGCGCCGCGCGGGCGCTGCCGGCGCGGCCCCCCCCCCTTTGGGCGGGGGGGGAGGGCTGGGCGCGAAGTGGTGGGAGGCGATCAACGAGGAAGAGGGGGAGGAGGGGGAGGAGGGGGAGGAGGAGGAGGAGGAGGAGGGGGAGGAGGAGGGGGGGGAGGAGGAGGAGGAGGAGGAGGAGGAGGAGGAGGAGGAGGAGGAGGAGGAGGAGGAGGAGGAGGAGGAGCCCAGCAAGGGGGAGGGGATTCGCAACCTGCTGCGTGCAGCTGGCCTCGGACCCCCGTCGCGGAGGGGGCCTCGTGGGCGTTCTCTTATTCGGCGTTTCGACATGGGGCGGAAGGGGGGGAGGGGGGGTCTGGCTCCGGACCTCTGCTTAATGCGACTGCTTGCAACAGTGCGTCCCATGAGGGAGACTCCACCTGCTCGAAACAGGCGCCCAAAACAGCCAGGGTCTAGTCCATAGGTGGAGGGGGGGGAGGGGGGGTGCGAGGTGCCCTCACCGATCGGCAGAGCGAAGCAGAAGAAAACGATCGCCTGTAGGGCCTCGAGAGGGCACCCGTTTTCCCTCCAGTCTGTCACTCCCCCCACCACGACTTCGCGCCCAGGGCGGGGCCGGCCGAGCTGCGGCCCGCCGCCCGCTGTGGGCGGCCTCGCGGCCACGCGTGGCGGGCGCTTGGCGCGGAATGGCGGCGGCGGCGGCGAGCGAGCGGGGCTTCCAAGATGGAGCGGCAAGCTGGGGGGCACTTTGGCCTATGGGAAGGGGGGAGGGAGGGAGGGGGGGAGGGGGGGTTTTGCTGCTAGGACTAATCTGGCTATTCGTGCCGCAGCCAGCCGTCGGAAAAGAGAGCCCCAGGGGCACACTGAGAGAGGTGCCTCGCCTTAGCCCGCACAGACTCCAGCCAGCGGAGAGCTGGCCTAGAGAGCTCGCTCCCAGAAGGCATCGCATTCCCACGGCAAGAGGGAACGTGCGCCGGGGGGAGGGGGGGAGGGAGGGGAGGGAGGGGGAAACATGCTAGGTGCGCTCGCGTCATATCTGTTGTCCTACCCCTCCGCCCCATCCCTTACCGTGGCGTAGATCTCCTCTCGAGCCGCACAGTTGGATGTCGTAGCAGGGCATAGCATTACATGGCATAGCATGATGTTGAAGATCAACGCGTAGCCTGACATAGCATGGCGTGGCGACGCCCCAAAGTGGGTGGGGGGGGCTTCTGCGGCCCTCAAAAACGAACGAACCGACACTGAATGTGTAATCACTTCCGATGTTTTTTCCGGGGGGGGGGGGGGGGCATTCTCTAGATTTTGGGGCCTACTTGGAAAGACCGAAAACCATGCCATGGCATGGCGCTGGAAATAATGACGCCAACGCTGCAACGGGTGCACGATTCGGAACGAGCGGAAGCGCGGAAATGAGGCCAGCGCTGCAGCGGGATCATGATTCGGAGGACGCATCGCCTGACATAGCATGGCGTAGCGACGCCCCAAAGTGGGGGGGGGCTTCTGCGACCCCGAATCAACTAATCGACACCAAATGTGTAATCACTTCCGCTGGTTTTTCTGGGGGGGCATTTTTTTTATTTTGGGGCCTACTTGGAAGGACCGAAAACCATGCCATGGCATAGCGCTGGAAAAAATGACGCCAACGCTGCAACGGGTGCACGATTCGGAACGAGCGGAAGCGCGAAAATGAGGCCAACGCTTCAGCGGGGGCACTATTCGAAACAAGTGGTAGCCCGAAAATGAGGGCAGCGCTTCAGCGAGAGCAGCATTTTGAAAACAAGCCCAAGCGAAAACCCGTATCCTGGGAATCCCCGGTGTAAAAAGCCAGTACGCGGAGGGGGGCCGAGCATTCCCCGGACGTCACAATGGGGAGAGAGCAGAGTCCGATTGAACAATTATGTAGGCAAGGGAAGCATGGGAAAAGAGGGAGGCGGGGAGGGAACGGGGCAGGAGGGGAGGGGGGGAGGGAGGGAGGGAGGGAGGGAGCGGAGGGGAGGGAGCGGGGAGGGAGGGAGGGGGGAGGGGAGGGGAGGGAGCGAGGGAGGGAGGGGAGGGAGGGACACAGATCCCTCGTCTGTGCCGCAGCGACCTCGTGCCGCTACCGGCCCCGTCTGGGCGAGGAGCCCTGCGGCTCTCCGCCCCGGGGCAGCGGGGTGGCCTTCGGCGCGCGGCGCGCCGAGCGTTCACGCGGCGTGCGGCAGGCGGCGGCCTGCCCTGCGTGCTTCGGGGCAGCGGCCTCCCCGAAGCCCTCCCCCAGGCGAGAGCCGCCCCCCCGCAGGCCACGCCGGCGGCGGCCTCACGCTCGTCGCGCAGCCGAGGGGGACTCCGAGGCGACGACAGAGGCGAAGAGACGAGGGGAGAGCAGCACATGTCTTCAGGTCGGCTACACGCAGGAGTGACCCTGGGTAAGAGTGACCTTTGGTGCGCGGCTTTTTGGGGGCCGCGGGGGGACCAAACCTGGGCGCGCAAGCCGCTGCTCCTGCTCCATTTTCAGCCATCTGGGGACCCATCTGTGCCCGCACCAAAAGGTCACTCCGGCGAAAGGTCACTCTTACGTCCAGTCTTCAGGTGCGCCGAGGATCCATGGCTTCGGAAGGGCTCCCGGGCGACTGCGTGTGGTGCACGCCCCTGTGCTGTTTGCCCCTCTACCGCCGCCTCCGAGGGGCGTCGGGGGCGAGCGAGGTGAGGCGCGGGTCGGGGCGAGCCAGCGAGCGCCAAGCCGGCCCCGCCGCGAGGAGGGCAGCACCATGCGCAGGGCGAGGGGGCGGCGGGCGCAAGGGCGCAGGCAGGAGAAGCGGGTCCTATAGGCTTCGGTCGGGCATGTCCTCCTGGAGGCGGACTTTTTGGCAGAAACGTTTCAGGTAGTCAAACATAGTCCGAAATAACCGAAGAGATCGAAACATCGCCACCACACTAGCTGTGTAAGTATTCTGTTATATTCCCCCCGTAGAGGGACAGGCCCCACTTAATCCTGCGCGGGGGAAAACAATTCGCGACCTTCCTCCGTGGCTTGCGCGGCCCGTCAGCGCGGCACGCCACGTTGGAGACGAAGGCGGTTACGCGCGACATTGTGCGGGTAGCTTGCGCGCCGATGTCTAGAATAAGCACATCTAGTATGGACATAAACTTTCGACGTTCCGCGCGGATTTCTTGAATCTGCGCTGGACCCCCTGGTGCGCTCCGCGCGCTAGGGAGGGGCTCCAGCGCAGATCCCAGAAATCCGCGCGGACCGTCGCAAGTTCAGGTCTGCGTTGTTTTTCTGATTCGAAGGTCGGTGAGCACGGCCCCTGGGGACACGAAGAGGTACCGCTACCGCTGCTCCCCGGCCCTCTGCCGCGGCGCGTCCTGACCAGGATCTCGAGGCGAATCCAGCGGTGGCGACGAGGGCCTCCCGGGAGGGCCCAACGCGGGGAGAACGGGGCGAGGGGTGGCGGTGTGGGTACCTTGTCCTCCTCTCGCTGGGCCCCGTGCTCCTGCGTCGCTCCAGGGGGGGGGGGGCGGGCGGGCGCGGGCCGGGGCGAGCGAGCGAGAGCGTCCGCGCGGCGCAGCTGCGGGGAGGGCCGCGCCCGATCGGGGGCCCGGCGAGGGGGGCCGCGGCGGGAGCCCTCGGGCAAGCAGCAGGGGAGGCCCAGCAACGCGCCCTGCCAGCAGCGAGCCTGACGGGGCGAGTCGACGACGACGAACGCCTCTGGAGCTCGGGTCGGTGTGTGTGAGCAGGCTAGACGCTCGACAAGCCTCGTCAACAACAAACTGAAGCGCTGCGCAACATCGAAGCGCTCGGTAGTTCGGGCACTTCTCGGAACACGCGTTCTTCAATGCTGTGAGGGTACCGCCGGATATCGGACACCCCTGCGGCTGGGCCGCATACCTCATGCCAGCATTGAAATAACGCCGACTATGCAAGCACCGAAAACAAAAACCGTCAATCTATTGTTGGCGAGTCCTGTAGGATCGGCTTACAGCCGAAGATTTCATGCATGCGAACGCCCTACGAGGATCCGCAACTTGTTACTAGTTGCATCCGGCCCTCAAACAAACTTGTCAAGCAAGAAGCATGGAAGAGTCGACTCGAGGAGTGGGAGGTCGGCTAGTGTCGGCGGCGAGCCCATGGGGGAAGTCAGAGTGGGCGGGCCTTCTCAGGAGGCTTGGAAGGCCTCGGGCTTTCTCTGCACAGTTTTCTAAGCCTTGCCCGAAGACGCAGAACACTTCTAAGAAGGCGCCAGGTGCTTCTCCGAAAACTCCTCGGAGCCTTCTCTCCGAAGACAACGACAGCTTTTCTGGAGGCCCAAAAAGGCTTCTGAGAAGCCCCGCCGCCTTCCGAGAAGGCTTGCCCCCCCCTTTCACCTCCCCAGCCCGGGCGCGCCGCCGATGGTGAAACAGGTGCCGAGATGGGGGTGGGAGCACGGTCGTGTTGCGCAGGGACCGACGTCCCGGCATTTCTATAGGCCCACCACGAAATCTTCTAAGAACCCAGAAATGTTTTAAGAACAAGAACAATGTTCTGAGAACATAAACCCGATATGTTGAAACAAGACAGTCCCAGCCAGAAATGTTCTAAGAACATGTCGTGGAAGCCATAAAGGGTTCTTAGGTAGGCCTATAGGCACGCCGGGACGCTTCGCCACTGCTTGATAGTGTGCACCAGGGCTGGACCTAAACGTTGTTTTTCGTTTTGTTGTCGTTTTGTCTCTCGTTTTGCTCTACCTGTTTTACTGCACCCTCCTGCCACAACGAAAAACATGATGCAGCCGAAGTCCAGCAAAACAGCGTTTAGGTCCACAGCTCAGGTGTGCACCACCACGTATTTTCTAAGGACTCTTGGCCGTCTGGACCAGAACTGTAGCTGGCATAAAGGCGAGAGCAAGATGCCTGACGCAGGGAGAACTCTTCTGCGGTCCCTGTCTACCATTACTCATCGGTCGGAAGAAATAAGTAGAACCATGAAGTAGGACGGCGTTGGAAGTAGATCGGGTTTCCGCCCGCCTCCTGAAGAGGAGGGAAGAGGGAACACCAGTCGACTCTTGAAGTAGGATGGCGGCTAAAGTAGATTGGGCACTGGAAACCCCCCAAAAATCTACTTTCAACGACCGATGGGTACCAGGGACCACTGGGGTGTTCTCGTGGCGCGGTTGTGAGCTGGCGCGGGTCGAGGCCCCCCCGCGCACGTCCACGGGGCGGGGAGAGGGCGGCGCTGGGGGCCGAGCTGGAGCTGGGACCTGGGTCGGAGCTGGGGCTGAAGCTGGGCAGGAGCTCGGGCTGGAGCGAAGCTGGAGCTTTAGCTGCGCGGCGACCAAAATTGGCGGCGCGCAAAATCGGGTAGGGGGAGGGGGGAAGTCTCCTTAGAAGCACCCCTGCTTCTTAGAAAGTGCGGGCCCTCTCTGTAGATGTAAGGCCGGCGTCCTCTCAGAAACAGTCTCCTTCTAAGAAACCTTCCCCCCTCCCCTACCCCCTTCTGCGCGCCGCCAACAAAAACGGGTCCGACGCGAGATGACACCGCGACCTTTCACCGCGGCTTACGCAGGCCGCCAGCGCGGCACGCGACATCGGAGACGGGGGCGCTTGCGCGCGACCTTACGCGGGCAACTTACGCGCGAACGTCAGAGAAAACGACCGCATTTTTTGCGTCGTTAAGCTGGGGATGGCGGCGGCGAGTGGAGGAGGGTTAAGACGAAGCCAGGTCCTGGGCAAAATCGGGCCCACGTGAAGAACAACCTGTGACGGCGGAAGGGAGGGACCGAGGACGACGACGGGAGCACCCTGGCAGCGACATGGATAGCTCCTTGTCTGGGTCCTGCGTCCACACAGCGGTCTCGATACCCCCCGCCAGCGCTACCAGAGCCACCAAGCCGAAGGTGCCTGTCCAGGGAGGGAAGGCCGAGGAAGAAAGGAGGGATACCCAGGCCTTCGACATAGCGATGTGTTCAATATGAGCCCCCTGAACTCTCGACCCAGCCCTAGGGACCGCATATCCGAAGCATGGGGTTCTTCGCTCCGCACAGTACTTGCATGTAGGATTCATTCCCCAAGCAATGCTTGCACTCAAGGTTTCATATTTATCTTCTGCGGAACTTGGACTGTCTGGCGGTCTGGCGGCTCCATGCTCGCCGTCGCCGCCCCGTCGCCGCCTCGTCGCCGCCTGTCGTCTGGGCCTGTCTGGCGGTCTGGCGGCTCCGTGCTCGCCGTCGCCGCCCCGTCGCCGCCTCGTCGCCGCCCGTTGTCTGGGCCTGGGTGGCGGCCTGGCGGCTATGCGCTCGCCGTCGCCGCCCCGTTACCGCCAAGTCGGGTAGATTGCTCCACATGGAGTCTCCTTTCTAAAGACTTGACCCCCCCCGGCGTTATCCGCCCCCCTTTCGGGTATGTAAATCATATATGATTCTGACCACATGTCCATCCTAAATATGAATTTGCGCTATCCCAGAGGGGCCGGGATCGGTCCCCCTGATGTTCCGTTATTTTTTTTGTTTAACAAAAAACGATACGCGGGGACACTTCTTGCTCTAACATAAGATTTGTTCCACGAATCCCTTGCAACAGATGGGACGAAGCGCACACGCGCGCGTCGTCGCGCGCGTGTGCCGAAATCCTTCAAAATCCTTCGGTGCCGGAAGGATTTCGCAATCGAGTTTCCCCCAAAAACATACAAACACACTTGGTTTCGCAACACTGATTTGCTAAAAAAGCTCCCGCGCGAGCTCTTGCGACATATTAAGAAAACCATGCGTTTTTTCAAGATTTTCACAAAATGCTATCAAACGGGCTTCGCGCGCGCATGTCGAAATCAGTCGAACGCCCTTGCGCGTGTGCCGTCGCGAGAATCCTCTGCAAAAAAAAAACCAAGTGCAGACGCGCGCGTCGTCGCGCGCGTATGCCGAAAACCTTCAAAACCCATCGGTTTCGGAAGGATTTCGAAATCGTGTCCAAAAAACCTACAAACACAAGGTTTCGCGACACGGATTTTCAACAAAAGCGTGCGCGCGCGCTCTTGCGTCGTCGTCGTCGTCGTCGTCGTCGCCGTCCTCCCTCCTCCCGCGTCGTCGTCGTCGTCGTCGCCTACGTCGTCCTGTCTTTCCTCGTGTTCGTCGTCGTCGTCCTCTTTCGCGTCGTGGTCGTTTCCGTCGTTGTTGTCGCCGTGGTCGTCCTTCTTCCTCCTCCCTCGTCGTCGTCGTCGTCCGTCGCCGGCGTCTCGTCGTCGTCCCTCCTGTTTCGTCGCCGTCGTCGTCGTCGTCGTTGTCGTCGTCGTCGTCGTCTTCCCTCCTCCCTTGTCGTTGTCGTCGTCGGCGTCGCCGTCCTTCCCCCTTCTTCGTCGTTCGCGTCGTCGCCGTCCTCCCTCCTCCCTCGTTGTTGTCGTCGTTGTCATCGTTGTCGCCGTCGTCGTCCTTCCTCCTCCCTCGTCGTTGTCTTCGTTGGCGACGTCGTCGTCGTCGTCTTCGTCGTCGTCGTCGGCGTCGTTGTCGTTGTCGTCGTCGGTGTCGTCGTAGTCGTTGTCGTCGGTGTCGTCGTAGTCGGTCTTAAGAGGTTTTGCAAACCAAGTTGCGGGTGTGTGGGTGGGATGTTTGCAAGAGCGTGGGATGTGTCAAATCATGGAAAAACTCAGTTGCACCACATAGATTGCTCCACAGATATTGCACCACATATGTTGTACCACATATGTCGCACAACATGTATTGATTTACACATGCTGCACCACATAGATGGATCCACATGTATTGCACCACGTAGATTGCTCTGCACGGACTTCACCACATGCATTGCACCACGTTTGCACCACGTATACTGCATCACATCGACTGTACCGTATATTTTGAACAACGCCAGTTACACAACAACTATTCCGACACATCGATTGCACACCATAGGTTGCTAGAAACACACTATTTGGATCCACGCTGGCCAACATGTACACATGTGTTTGCTAGAAAAGATGTATATGTTGTCTAAGGTGGTCTCACCTTCTGCCTGGGAAGCGCGGTGCTGTGGAGACAGCCGTGCTTGGAGAGATCAGCCATTATTGTGAATCATTTAAAATGGGGTCAGCCACGCCTTTGTTGTCGAGCGTCCGCCCTGCCCTCCAATGTCCTCTCCCCCGGATATTCGTCCTTGAGTTTGGTCGTTCCAGCTGGCAGCGGGGCCAGGCTTGGAGGTTTGTCGTTCCAGCTGGCGGCGGGGCGAGGCTGAGGTCACTTGGCGGTGAACGACGGAAGGAGGTGCGGATAACGACATGAAGCCGAGATGGGGGAATCGGATGCTGAGCCCATCGTCGGCGCACGAAGACGTGCCGACACACACACACACACACACACACACACACACACACACACACACACACACACACACACACACACACACACACACACACACACACACACACACACACACACACACACACACACACACACCCACACACACACACACACACACACACCACACACACACACCCACCCACACACCACCCACACACACCAACACACACACACCACACCCACACACCACACCCACCACACCAACACACACCCACACACACACACACAACACACACACCCACACCACACACCCACACCCACACACACACACCCACACACACACACACACACACACCCCCACACACACACCACACACCCCACACACCACACACACACACACACACACACCACACACACACACACACACACACACACACACACACCACACACCACACACCCACCACACACACACACACCACACACACACACACCACACACACACACACACACACACACACACACACACACACACACACACACACACACACACCACACACACACACCCACCACACACACACCACACACCACACACACACCCACACACACACACACCACACACACCCACACACACACACACCACCACACCACACAACACACACACACCCCACACACACACCCCCCACACACACACACACACACACACACACACACACACACACACACCACACACACCCACACACACACACACACACACACCACCCCACCCCCACACCCCACGGTTGTCTCCCACGCACACCACACACACACACACACACACACACACACACACACACACACACACCCCACACACACACACACACACACACACACACCACACACGCTTCCGGGGTGGAAGACGTCGGCCCTGGGCTTGAACCTGAGGTCGTCCGGGTTGGCGGTCCCGGCGTGGACGTTGATCGCCTCGGTGTTGGTGGCGGCGTCGGCGCAAACGATGGCGCTGGCGTTGGTGTTGAGGTACGAGCGAGGTGTCCGGCGCCTATTCCACTACTCGTCTGGTCTTCGCGCCCCTAATTATCCGTGGCCAGTGGGCCAGGGCGCGGACCGTGCAGCGTGAAGAACTCGGGAGCGGCGCGGTGGTCTTCACGCGCGGGCTCGTGGTGTTGGAGCCCGCGTCTGCTGTGTGGCTGGGCGGCGGAGGGCGGTCAGCCACGGGGTCCCGAGCCTCCGGCCGTGGTTTACAGCAGTGGCGGCTCGCCGCTGGTGTAAGCATATATCTCAAGTTGGCGTCGGCATTGTGCTCCGCGATGCCGCTCTGGACGGCTACGAAATGGCGACGTACTGGCAGGCGGCGACTTGATCTTGGGAGGCCGCCGTCGTGGCCGCTGTCTCGGCAGTGCGCTGCAGCATGCTGGAGTTGCCGAACATCTGGGCTGCGCGGACGTGGCCGAAGAGCCCAAGGCTCTAGTGGACCCCCGAACTGTCTCACGGGCGCCAGAGGCTCGGATGTGAATCGTGTCGGCAGCCCCCGCTCCCCCGGGAGCTCTCGCCAACACCAACCCCGTGGGCGTGCCCGTGGCGGCTGCTCCTATGGCCGCTTCTACGGGGCATGCCCTCCGTGGGCCCTCCGCGGGCCCCCTCGCGGGGCATGCGGCCACTCGGGGCTTGACGTCCGCCTCCTCTTCCTGTCGTGGTGGCCCGTGTGGGGGCTGCTGGCCACGGAGCCGAGGGGAAATGCAGGGCGCGGCTGGGGACTGAGACTCGCCCCAACCCACGCCGTTCTCGCGTGGCTCCTTCACTAGGACCGCCGCCGCCTCGTCCGCTGCCCCCTCCAGCACCTCCGTGGCGGCATCTTGGCCGTTGGTCCCCGTGGATCTCGGCCTCGGCGCTCCCGACGCGGCCGTTCTCCTGCCTGCCCTCGTTGCGGCCGTCGGCGGTAGTGCAGTTGGCTCCCATCCGTGGTGAAATTGCTGGCATTGGCACTGGCGTGGGCGGCGCTGGTGGGGTCAGGGTCGGCGCCTTCGGCGTCGAGCTGGACGTAGGCGCTGGTGGTGACGCTGGCGTTGGCGCCGGCGTGGGCTGCGGCAAGGCTGGCGCCGCGCTCGGCGGACTCGCGGATGGCCCGCGCCGCCGCCTGGCCCAGGCAGGCGCCCGTGGGGTAGGCGACGCCCGCGCTCCTGGCAGGAGAGGGTAGTCGCGGCGGCCACGGCCAAAGCAAGCGAGGCTGGCGGCGGCATAGCCGCAGGTGCCCGTCGGCCTGGCGAGCCACACTGGGCGGGGCGCACGCTTCCGGGGTGGAAGACGTCGGCCCTGGGCTTGAACCTGAGGTCGTCCGGGTTGGCGGTCCCGGCGTGGACGTTGATCGCCTCGGTGTTGGTGGCGGCGTCGGCGCAAACGATGGCGCTGGCGTTGGTGTAGAGGTACGAGCGAGGTGTCCGGCGCCTATTCCACTACTCGTCTGTCTCCCCGCGCCGTCTCTTCCAGTCAGATGCTCATGCCAGCTCTTGCGTTCGTGTGGCTCGTCACGCCAGGTCCTTCATGAATCTGGCTTCTCACACCAGCCCTTCAAGGTGTAGAGGTAGGCGGTGGTGTCGGCGGCCTCGTCGGGGGCCGTGATGG